CCTCGGTGATCTTTGCATGAAAGTGTCTCGGTTTCCGCGGACTGCATGAAACTATAGTCCTCAACAGCTGAATCGAGGGGGCGTGTCGATGTAACAGGATTCTGGAGTGACGCCAGTTCCTTTTCCACTAATCATTGCTCGCCTCATCTGGCGACGACTGTTGGGAAACGAGCTGGCACCGCGCCAAAATCCACGCAATGTTGCCAAACCCATCGATTTGCTTCTTGAGGACTAATCTGATCCCTCAAGCTATCACCATTTTCTGTATATATTGAATTTCATGCTTTTTATTTTACGTTTTTGGTTGGTACTTCCACTGGAAAGCGTCTCAGCATCGGCTGAATCACAGAGTGTTTTTGTGTGAGTTTTTGGGAAAAATAATATTTAAGGAGGTCATTGTCTTTGTCAAAAGCTTTCAAGTGCAATACATCAATGCTCATCTAGTCTTTACCGAAACTAATATGTATTTGCGCTCAAAAACATTTGTCTTGTATTTATTCTATTTATTAGTTCTCACTGACAAGAAATTTTCTCAAAGTTTCATTGTGATTTGCATATTTATTGACAGCTATTGATCGATTTTCACCGGCATGTGCAGCTTTTTCAAATGAATTATTTCTGAGCACGTGAATTAACAAACCTTTCATATGGCAACAAAATGCAATTTTCAGCGCAGTTCGGCAACGGGGGGGCATTTTGCACTTTCGCTGCTTCACTAGTTCCTGGTTTACAAGTCTCACTTTGGTGAAACCTGCGAACTGTTGTGTAGCTGGGCCAGCTCGTGGAGCCGCTATGGTAGGACCTGCCAACTCTTGTAAGCTCATGAAATGGCTCTCTAGATGAGAGAGGCGACGGGGAAGGCAGAATGCCCCTCCCCCGTCGCCGAACTGCCCCCGATTTCTTTGATCCGGCGGGTTGGTGCCAGGAAGCATGGAGTAAACCCACCCTCGGCGTATTATACCAGTGATCGTTTTCTTCATGAAGCGGCAACAGTTGGTAGAATACTCGCCCCTCGGGTAAGCTCGCACGCTTCTGGATACCGCTGGGTTGCGACCGTACCATATACAGGGGGGGGGGGGGCAAAAAAAGACTTTTTTCTTCCTCGACTTTCGAGGCGCTATAAGTTACACTTTATTAAATTATTATCGGACATTTCTACCACCATATTAAAGAGCATATCAAATACTATCATGATACTCCGCCACAGCCTTCTGGAGGAGCGCCATCGAGAGATTCTGCCACGCGACCGTCAGTGGGTGCGTGAGTTCAGCGAGATCGTTGATTTCTCCGCCACTGTAGACCACCCTATTGAACTCCGCCGAGCCAGGTAATTGAGGGGTTTAGGTCAGGTTACCTGCTTAGATATTCCACCTTCTTCAGGTACTCAACGCCCTTCCATTCCAAGTAGGCGAGAGTTTCTCCAACGCCCTTCGATTTCATGTGGTGGCACTCAATGCTGTAGCAGTACAAAGTTTCCAAGAAGGTACGGGCGACCACATGTGAGGAGGATATTCTTCACGAGTTGCCAATGTAACCGCCAGCGCTCACCTTAGTCCGGGGCCCACGAAGAAAATATCGGTCTCTCCATTCCAGGTACGTCCGGTCCCCACCATCAACTGGCGCCTTGGCGACTGAGGTGAAGATGATGTCCTAGATCGTAGCGACGTTGACGGAGCTGCTCGATGATGGAGGTTTTCCAGATCGAGAGTACTGCTCTCCAGGTAGCTATTTATGGGTGACTCCATACTAGAAGTTTCTTTGGAGGTGACATGAATTCCAAAGGTCTTCTCCAGTCAGGCTGCGACTGGAGATGACTTCATATTTTGGTGTACATGAAGGTGATGGGCGAGGGCCAGCTCCTGCTTATCGAGGAACATCTTGGGTATCTTCCGCCTGGTACTCGTATCCACGTCCTCTGTCTGGGCTGCGAAAACTTTGCTGATATGTGACTCGGTCGAATGTCTTTTTTGCCCCCCCCCCTGTAGTACGTGATTGTGTATTTACAACTTTAGATGTGCAAATGAGCAATAAATCAGCCACACCCAGGGCAGAAGTCCAGGGCAAAGATGCAAGTGACGCTTACGCTCGATTTGAACAATTGAAAGATTTATTCGGATTTTTCAAAAACATTGTGAAGTTCAGTCGTTATTATCAAACAAAAAATGAACATAATCCGTAATTGTGAGAAAGCGTCGAAGAATAACCCTACATATGAGCCGAAATGTAGGGGCTCTCAAAGGTATAAGCACTTCATTCTGTGGCGTTTTGCTGCTAGGATGTGCAAGAGAGTCACAATTCAGTGGTCAAGAGTTTTCCGGTATTCCCGATAATTTTCTCTGATCCCATGAAAGACGAGGGACAGCACAGATATTCAGTGTTATCTAAAGTCTAAAAGTTTACCATATAGAGAACACTGTTTTCGAGAGGACATTCCTTAATAATTGATAGGGCGGAGACTCAGCCTCTGCGCCTTCTTCATTGGCGCCCCTCCAAATGTTTCGGAATAAGCCCTGTTTTTTGAGAGTGCTCGTTCACACACTCAACATCTCCCCTTCCCTCACCATCGCGGCAACTGAAATCGAAGCTTCTTATTCTCTATAAGCAGACAGCCCATACCAGGGTACGCCATCGTTGTGATCATCACAAGGGGGGTCGGACCGCGAGGCGGAGGGGTCACGGATGTACTACTTCCTTCGATACTTGAAAATGATAGTTCAAAAATTGTTTAATTCTGATGGCTCCCCCCCCCGACGTCTCGGTTCGATGAGGAAGGCAGAGCGTGTGGAGGGAGGGCGTCGTACCAACTCCAAAAAGGTGGCATTATCCTAGTTTGCGAATTGGGGGGGCCGCCGGTTCGTAATTTTCAGAAAATGATCACAACGCGATGGCGTGCCCTGGCCCATACAGCGGCGACGACCGATCCCGCCCATTCGATCAGCGTGGACTGCGGCTTCAGGATCAGATGGGCTACCACAACAATAATTCAATGAAAGCGGTGGCATCGAATGCATGAAAAAAAGTAGGATAGCTATACTGCTACGGTTTTTGTAAGTGTAGGGAACAACCTACTCACACCTTGGGCGGAAAGACAATAGGGAAGTGAAAAAGTCATCATATTCTAAATATTATGTATGTTCACGTTTTATATCAACCAACCTCTATATCCCGGAGATTGAGTGGGCGTGGCTGTGTATGTCACGTTAGCATGGCGACGACTGCGCTTTTGGTGGGATATTGCCGTTTTGAGATCGTTGTAATCATGTCTTTGTGAAGCAAAAAACAGGATGATAGCTGACTGAAATGGAAATATCCCAAGCTATCGCCTAGAAAAATGAATTACGCGGCCACGCCCTCTCTAACCTCGGGAAATGGAGTGTTTTGTAATCTAACCAGACTAATACATGATATAGCTAACTACGAGTCCATTATTATTTAGATCTGTATGGGAGACAAGGTGTCGGATTCATGGAATGTTAAATAGTTCTTCAACGTTGACTCCGAACTGCTTAGAGAAATTGGAGCAGGAATGAGTGCTGACTCTGGAACAATAATTGCTCACAAATCGCAGTTCAGGAGATCCGAGTCGTGGCATCGTGAACGAGGTGTGCTCTAGCCAGTCGATACTTTCGTGATAGACCGAGTGAATTTTGGTGCGAATGGCGCGCACGCGTCATTTGCAACGCCTCTCTCTCTCCGCCCTGCCGCAACTCGGATCTGCTAAACTGCCCCTATTCTCACGAGATCACTGAGGTTTCTCAGCTGAGAGCTTCACATAGCCTTCTCTCAGACCTGTCCATCATAGCAGAACCAGTTCGCCGTAGTTCTCGTCAGTCTACATAAATGGGATACACAGTCGGTGGATCGTGCGCGATTCTTACGTGGCGTGTGTCTGAATAGGAAAATCACACAGATGTGATGTTTCAATTTTTTCTAGTGCTCCAGGGGCGGGTCAGGACATCCGAATTGCGGTGGCATGACGAAGGCGCACTGAAAGCGGCGTCGCGGCACATGCAAATTTGATTCATCACGCCGTCGCACGCACAGTGATCCACTTCCCTCACGACATCACAACTCGAATCTCGTGGCCCACAGCCACTAGCAGAACAACTTTGAAGAGTTCTCAGCTCACCTAGATCTGGACAATCTTGAGGGCTTCGTCTGAAGATCACTCGTGGTGCGTGAGCATAGGCGTATCGTAATTCGGCAGTCAACGTCAACACGAACATCAGCATTGCGAACGCCAGCGCCCACTCGGAACTGGTGGATACTATGTAGTTCAAATAAAGCTGAAACGTTTACATTTATTCGCTCAACAGAATCTGCTCTGCCTCTGCGCGCCCTAACCATCCACCACCCAAAGACGGGACGTTTGAGGCGCAGGAGAGAGAGAGCTGGGCCAGCGTCAGCAACTTTCACCAATTATGGCAGTCTGTCAGCTTCCACAACTGGCGGAGAAAAGGCTGACGCCTTACAAAAGCCAGCTCTTGACACGCCGTAGCATCCGCAGCGACCTAGACAGCATGTGCCGCAGCGGGGACGCTTTTCATTGGCTTGCATTCCAGTCTGGTGAGCTCGCAAAAAACAAAAAAGTCACCGGTGAGTCGGGCTTCGGCCGCTTGATTCCAATCCATCCTCCAGGAGGGATGCCCGCTCCTTTTGGCACAAAGATTTTGAACGAAGCAGCCAGCTCATCTGGAATGTTTTGTACTAGCTGCAAACTACTCTTTTGTACACAAGTTACAGACCAAGGTGCATGTCGAAAAATTGCAGAAGGGTTTTTGAAAAATTCTTTGTGCAGAACTGGAATTGCTGTGATGAAGAAATGAGGAATTTCGCCGAATTCTGGAAGGAAAGCAAGTTTCAGGAACTCAATTTGTTGTGCAAAAAAAGAGGTTTTGCATTAGAGAAATCCCAGCTTTGCACAAGGAATTTTTGAGAGCCCACCTGGCCCAATTATCCGATTTATCACTACTAGAACTCACGGAGTAGGAAACAAGGGGTAGCGATGAGCATAATCACAAGTCGTAAATGATTCACCCACATCGAAGCCATTCTTGGCACCATGGCGTAGCTTAACACAAGAAATACAATGACTAGTTCTGATGAATGCTGATCATTCGGGCAGGGACACCCTAACATTACGCTATCCTTCATCTTTGCGCCCCTACCAGACGCAGGACTCGGGTGAATATCAATAAATGTCCACAACGGTTAGGTGTCTCCGCCTATACGATCAGTGTAAACTGTGCACTGAGTAAAAGACTCACCCTATGATCACTTGACCCCAACCATAAATCATCAACGAAATGAATGTGAGTGCAGCCCCGAAAAGATGAACTTTGGGTACTTCAGATTCCTGAAATGAGACTAGGCATTCCAGTGCGATAAGATGGCAGTGGATGATTTATGGTTGGGGTCAAGTGATCATAGGGTG